TTACATGCATATCATGCTGCAAAGGTTGGTTACAAGAATGTTGCAATGCGTATTGTTAGATACAGATGTTCTTTTCATGGCAACATCCGTTTGTCAAAAAATAGCAATCATTTCCGAAACATTGCAGTGCAAGAAACATCTAACAGTCTTAGACCATTAAAATCAAAAGATTTACCAGTTATCTATACATTTACTGGTTTGAAAACTAGAAAGAACTGATCGTTATTGTTTAAGCAGCATGGCATAGTGGTTACAGCGGTTGCTTTTGAAGCAAGAGATCTAAGGTTCAAAACAAGCGATGGAATTATTTCGCGCTATCGGTAAAGAAAGAAGCATGAACTTTCTAGTTATTTGCTTTTTCTCGGTGCTCTGTGAAAAGAACGTTAGGTCTGCGTGGGACGTCTGCGTGGGACATCGGAAATAAATTTTAAAAAAAGTTATATGTATGAAGCCTCCTGAAGCTGATACTGTCCTGAGTCAATTTGATGCTGATGTCAGAAGGGTTGTACATCACACTACGGTAAATATTCTTTGCAGCTGTCAAAAATAAAAATAAAATAAAATAAAATGCAGCAATACTTTATTTTTTTTAACTTTTCATACTCGTTAAAAGTTGTTTTAACTTGTTAGCTGCTGAAAATCTGTTAGTCAAGTTTCTCCGCTCTCCCACGGTTAGCTCAACTAAATTTAGGTTTTTTAAATTATATTTAAGTTAAGGTCGATGGTTTCTGAAAGAGTATAGTTTACTAATCACTATGTATACAGCCCACCAAATCAAAAATCTCATATTAAGGAATTATAGCATTTTAAAATTTTTTTTGAGCCTTTTTTTGGCGTCATTTTTCGCAAGTGTTTTGCGCTTATTTTTGCGGATAATCACATGTTTAAATCATCAAATGAATATATATCAAAAGAACATATATTAAAAAAAAAATAGTGTTAAAGATAAATTATTCATGATTTGAATTACAAAAAAATATCAACATTACCAAGAGAAACCAGATGTTTTCGATTATAAGAACTTAATGCTCTAAATTATTTCCATATTTACAACTATTAGGGGACAACTTGTAGCGGTTCCAAGACGCAGTGTTAAAGAGGTAATGAACAATTTCCCCTGTTTTTTTTTTTTAAACATCTTTGCTTTCAACAAGGCTGCAAGCAGTTACTATTAGAGTTGGAAGTTACTGGAAGAAAAAAGATAAAGTTTGTAGAGCAAGATAACGATTGACAGATGACTTAAAAGATAGTAAATTAAATGAATTAGGAAAACAAGATGAAGGAAGCGAATTCCATAGAACTGATGTTCGAGGAAGAAAACTAGAGGAATAAGAGTATTTGGAGCACTTAAAAACAGTCACAGAAAAAGTATGAGACTTAATTAAATGACGAGCAACATGAGAATGAATTTTAGTTGATGGCACAAAAGACGCTAGCTTTTTAGAGCAGTGCCTATTATAGTATTTGTAGAAAAGAGAAATAAAAGCAATATTACAAGGGCGGATTTAAGATTTAAATAAATAAAGAATAGAACACCTAAAAGTAAGAAAGTTTTGAGCATGATAAAGAGATGCATCCTTAGCAGATCCTAATTTTGCCATGGATTTTATACGGTTTCCAAGAAAAATTGGAAGTAAGAGTTAATCCTAGAAGATGAAGGGTAGAAGATTCATTGAGTGCATTACTGTTGATAAATATAGGAAGAACTAAACTATTGCGATAACAACCGGCTGAAAAAAATTAAGCTTTTTCTGAATTAAAGTTCACTAGCCACTGTAAGCCCCATACTGTAGCAGAAGTGAGATCCTTTTCTAGTTTAAATGCCCCCTCCAAGCAATTAGAAAGTGGTGGCTTCTTATCATGACAAAAATAAATGGTAGTATCATCAGGAAACAATTCCACCTTAGATATGAGAATATTTGAAAGATCTTTAATGTAAATTAAAAAGAGTATAGGATCAAGAATCTTGAGGAACCCCTGAAGTTACAGGATATGAAGAAGAGTGATTTCCATCTAGGACAAATTTTATTCTACGATTGGAAAAGAAGCATTCAGTAATCTTAAAGATGCTACCAAAAACTTTAGAAATGTCAAGAGCGATAGCCTTAAACTCTTCGCATCTATCTAATGCACGGTAAAACCATTGGGTTATTATATAACATATCGGTTAGAGTATATATATATACATGTATATATATATATATGTATATATATATATGTATATATATATATATATTTTTTTTTTTGATGTAAAAATATATTAACGATATTTGGTTGACCTATTGTGGTCAGCGTCATCAGGTAATAATAAAACGTTACAAAATAACATAAAACAAACCGTTTAATAAAAGACATTAATATATATATAATATATATATATATATATATATATATATATATATATATATATATATATGTATATAGATATATATATGTATATAGATATATATATATGTAAAAATCATTGATGAGGGGGGGTGTCACCCCCCTCCCCCCGATCAATGATTTTTTAGTCGGCAAATTGGACCCTTTTAGACTAGTTTAGTCGGCAAATGTCGACCCTTTCGATATAGGTTAGTCGGTAATCTAGACATTCGGCAAACGTCGTCATGGCAGTCGGCAAATTTTGGAAAACGAGGACCTTTAATTTTTAATGGCACTTTTTCCCCCCCCACGTGAGACCTACTCGCGCAGGCCCTATATATATATATATATATATATATATATATATATATATATATATATATATATATATATATATATATATATATATATATATATATATATATATATATATATATATATATATATATATATATATATATATATATATATATATATATATATATATATATATATATATATATATATATATATATATATTAATATATATATATATATATATATACATATATATATATATATATATAATATATATATATATATTATATATAAATATATATATATATATATATATATAATATATATATATATAATATATATATATATATATATATATATAAATATATAT